TGGAAGACCTCCTAAAAATTAAACAAAATGTGCATCAAAAGACTTCAGCAAAGAGAACCTATAGACTGGGGAAAAAAAATTGGCAATGACATATCAAACAAGGGACTAATCTCTTAAATCTGTAGAAAATTTCAACACCTCAATAAAAAAAAAAAAAAGACAAGCAATCCGATTTAAAAATGGGCAAAGGGCATGAACAGGCAACTTCACCAAAGAAGACATTCAGGTGGCTAACAAATATATGAAGAAATGCTCATGATAGTGATCATTAGCCATTAGAGATGCATATCAAAACAACGAGATACTCCAGCATTAATAGCAAAGTTCAAAAAAACAGAAAATAACAAATGCCGTTGCTAGTGTGTGGAGACCAAAACCCTCATATGCTGCTGGTGGGGCTGTAAAATGGTACAACTACTGTGGGAAATAGATTGGTGCTTCCTTAAAAAGTTGGAAATAGAAATACCATATGATCCAGCAATCCCATTACTAGGTATATGCTCTGGTTTCCTGGTGCCGCTCTGACAGGAATATACCACAAGTGGGATGGCTTGAACAAACAGGAGTTTATTCTCTTCCAATTTTGGAGGCTTTAAGTCTGAGTTCAAAGTGCAGGCTCTAAGGGCTGGATGAAAGTTCCTCAACCTTGGGCTTCAGCGAGGCTTTTCTGCACTCAGACAGCTGCTGGCTGCTGAGGCTGACAAGCCCAAGGTTGACAAGTAAAAAGGCACAGCCCCAATGTTACCAAAGCACATGGCAGGCCCCAGTGACACGAGTCCATTGAGAGGCCCAGGATCGGCAGAGCATCATGGCAGGCTGCTGAACAACGAATGACACGGCTACATGCAGGGTTCAAGCGTGCTATAAGCTAGAGACCTTCCTCAAAGTTGCTTCTTATATACGGGAAGCAGACCACATCCATAAAGCAGCTACTCAGCTGCTTGTGGTAAATCCCACCATGGAGTTGATTGCCAGTCTCATCATGGGGAATAACTACTACCAGCTGCCCAGCCACTCAACCAGGCCCAGCCAAGCTGACACACAACCTTATGTCCTAGAGAAATAAGAGCCATTACACAAACAGATATATGCACACCCATGTTCATCACAGAAGTATTCACAATAGTAAAAAGATGGAAACAGCCTAAGTGGCCATCAACAGATTACTGTTTAACAGATGTTTGTTTAACTGTGGTACATACACAATGGAATAGTAGGCAATATTGAAGAATTACAGCAAATCTGTGAAACACCTCAATATGGATGAACCTATCGGACATTATGCTGAGTAAAATTAGTCAATCACAAAAGAACAAATATTGTACACGTGTACTACTGAGAAAAGTTAAGAAAGAATCATCCTTTGAAGGTTACCAGGTGTGGGAGGGGAAGGCAGGGTGAATCACTGCCTAGAGGGTGTTGTGGGTATTACGTGCTATTGATTTGTCTCCAACTCATAGCAACCCTGCGTACAACAGAACAAAACACTGCCTGGTCCTGTGCCAGCCTCACAATCTTTGCTATACCTGAGCCCATCATTGTAGCCACTGCATCAACCCATCTTGTTGAAGGCCTTCCCCTTTTTCATCCACCCTCCACCTTACCAAGCATGATACCCTTCTCCAGGGAATGGTCCCTTCTGCCAACCTGACCAAAGTAGGTGAGACGAAGTCTGGCCATTCTCGCTTCCAAGGAGCATTCAGCTGCACTTCTTCCAGGACAGATTTGTTAGTTCTTTTAGCAGTCCATGGTACTTTCAGCATTCTTCACCAACACCTCAACTCTAAGGCATCAACTCTTCTTCAGTCTTCCTTGTCTAGCTCTCACATGCATATAAGGTGACTGAAAATACCATGGCTTGGGTTAGGTGCACCTTAGCTTCAAGGAGACACCTTTGCCCTTCAGCATTTTAAAAAGATCTTTTGCTGCAGATTTGCCCAGTGCAATACATCATCTGATGTCTTGGCTGCTGCTTGCATTGGTGTTGATTGTAGAACCAAGTAATATGAAATATTTGACAACTTCAATCTTTTCTCCATTTATCATGCTGTTACTTATTGGTCCAATTTTGAGGATTTTTATTTTCTTTATGTTGAGGTGTGATCCATACTGCAGACTGAAGTCTTCAATCTTCATCAGTAAGTGCTTCAAGTCATCACTCACTTTTAGCAAGTAAAGTTGTGTCATCTGTGTATCGCAGATTGTTAATAAGTCTTCCTCCAATCCTGATGCTATGTTCTTCTTCATATAGTCCAGCTTCTCAGATTTTTTGCTCCCCATACAGACTGAGTAAGTATGGTGAAAGGATACAATCCTGATACATTCCCTTCCTGATTTTAAACCATGAAGTATCCCCTTGTTCTGTTTGAACAGCAGCATCCTGGTCTATGTACAAGTTCCTTATGAGTACAATTAAGTGTTCTGGAATTCTCATTCTTCTCAGTTTATCCATGATTTGTTATGATCCACACAATCAAATGCTTTTGGATAGTCATTAAAACACAAGTAAACATCTTTCTGGTATTCTTTGCTTTCAGCCAAGATCCATCTGACATCAGCAATGATATCCCTTGTTCCATGTCCTCTTCTGAATCCAGTTTGTATTTCTGGAAATTCTCTGTCAATATACTGCTACAACCGTTTTTGAATTATCTTCAGTAAGATTTTACTTTTGTGTGGTATTAATGATATTGTTCAATAATTTCCACATTCTGTGAGATCACCTTTCTTTAGAATGGGTACAAATATGGATCTCTTCCAGTCAGTTGGCCAAGTAGCTGCCTTCCAAATTTCCTGGCATAGATGAGTAAGTGCTTCCAGCGTGGCAACTGTTTGTTGAAACATCTCAGTGGGCATTCCATCAATTCCTGAAGCTTTTTTCTTCATCTATTCCTTCAGTGCAGCTTCAACTTCTCCCTTCAGTAGTATTGGTTCTTGATCATATGCCTCCTCCTGAAATGAATGTACATCGATGAATTCTTTTTGGAACAGTGACTCTGTGTATTCCTTCCATCTTCTTTTGACGTTTTCTGTATCATTCAATACTTTGCCCATAAGAGCTTTCAGTATTGCAACTCGAGGCTTGATTTTTTGTTCAGTTCTTTCAGCTTGAGAAATGCTGAGTGTGTTCTTCCCTTTTGGTTATCTAACTCCAAGTCTTTGCATATTTCATTTTAATAATTGACGTTGCCTTCTTGAGCTGCTCTTTGAAATCTTCTGTTCAGCTCTTTTATCTTGTCATTTCTTCCATTTGCTTTAGCTACTACCCATTCAAGGGCAAGTTTCAGAGTCTCTCAACTAGAGGGTAGACACGTTATTAACTTGGGTGAAAGGAAAAGCAACATACAATAAGGGGGAAGTCAGCATAAACTGATCAAAGCAAAGGAAGACACTGGGAGGAACACAACGAAGGTAAATGCTATTACATATACAATCCTCCATTAGCATTAATAACAGTAATCTATGAGTAGATACAGAGTTAAACATTTAAGCTGAACAGGGGTGGGAAGGTGATTGGGACTACACCCATGAATATGTATAAATTTGACAGAGGGTATTTCTACATATATATTTATATGTGCTGTAAATATATCCATGAACATAGTAGAATATACAGGGGGCAAAGTTATGAAAACTTAGCCATAACCAAACACCTGGAGGGCCTGAGGACTCAGGACCATAGTCTTGGGGGACACTAAGATCAATTGGCATAACGTAGTCCACAAAGACAATACTTGTTGAGTAGCAACTGGGGTCTTAAAAGCTTGTGAATGGCCATCCAAGGTGTAACTATTGGTCTTTCTCTGTCTGGAACAAAGAAGAGTAAAGAAAATCAAAGACAAAAGGAAACAGTCCAGAAAACTAAAGGACCACGTGAACCTCAGTTTATCTGACCCTGAGACCAGAAGAACTAGATGGTACCTGGCTACCACTGCTGATGATTCTGAAAGAGGGATCACAATAGGTGGTTCTGGATAAAGTGGGAGAGATTTTTAAAATCATAAAAAGGACCAGGCTGAGTGGCCTGATTGAGACGGTTGGAACCCCCAAGTTTACGACCCTTAGGCACCCTTCAAGCCTGGAACTGAAGTCACCCCCATGGCTCAACTTACAGCAAACGGATAGACCTATAACATGAACAGTAACACCAGTGAGGGAGGTACACAGTCATCAGAACAGTCAACTATATGAGATCAAAAGGGCAGTATTTATGCAGGGATAAAGTTAAGAAGCAGGAAGAGATAGGAAAGAAGGATGAAGGGAAATGGTAAACCCAAGGAGGGAGTGGGGAAAATGCTGTTACATTGTGGGAACTGGAGTCACCATCACAAAACAAAATCTGTACAAATTATTGAATGGAAATGAATTTGTTCTGTAAACTTTCACCCAAATCACAATTTTTAAAAACAATGGTGGGGTGCAGTTAAAGCATTTCTTTGAGGGAAATGCATAGCCTTAAAATGCATTTAATAGAAAAGAAGAAATGCTGAAAAATAAGGAGCTAAGCATGTGTCTCAGGAAATTAGAAAAAGAACAGCAATATAAAACCCAACAAAGTAGAAGGAAGGAATTGAAAGGCAAAAATCAGTAAAGCAGAAAACAAACATACAGTAGAGGATCAAGGAAGCCAAAAGTTTGATCCTCAGACGGGAAAAAATCAGCCAGACCATTGGCATGACAGTTCACAATAGAAGACGCATAACCAACGTCGCAGATGCACAGGGATGTGGTGTGTCAGGTATTTAAACAGAATATGAGGATATACTGACACGGTTCTGCTGATAAATTTGGAGAAACCTACCAATCCCCAGTGAACAGCTGCAGGTCGGTGGGTGGCTGTGGTGGAGCTGGTGGCTTGGGGCGAGTAAGGGGGTACTGGGTGCCAGCGGCCGCGTCAGGTCAGGTCGGTCTCTCGGAGCGGGGCTGGGGCGTGGCAGCGGGCTGCGGGCTTCGGGCGCTGGGGCCCGCGGCCCCGGAGGCTGACCGGCTGCGCGCCGCAGGGAGAACGCCGAGAACATGTACTACTTCTCGGAGCTGGCGCTGACCCTGAACGAGCACGAGGAAGGCGTGGCGCCCACCGACAGCCGCCGGCGGCCGGACCAGCGGCTGATGGAGAAGGGGCGCTGGGACGAGGCCAACGCGGAGAAGCAGCGGCTGGAGGAGAAGCAGCGCCTGAGTCGCCGCCGGCGCCTGGAGGCCAGCGCGCGGAGCGGCGGCTTCCTCCCCGAGGACGGTGAGGCCTTCGGGGGGCGGGGCGCGGGCCGGAAACCCGGGGTCCGGGAGGAGGACTGCGGGGAGGGTGTGCCCCGGGCCGGGTGGGGGGCGGGCCCTGAGGGAGTAGGTGGCCCTAGGAAGAGGCGGGGCTGGGGGCGGGCCCTGAGGGAGTAGGTGGCCCTAGGAAGAGGCGGGGCTGGGGGCGGGCCCTGAGGGAGTAGGTGGCCCTAGGAAGAGGCGGGGCTGGGGGCGGGCCCTGAGGGAGTAGGTGGCCCTAGGAAGAGGCGGGGCTGGGGGCAGGCCCTAGGCAGGGCCGTCCCCGGCAGCGCCCCGCCCGCCAGCCGCTTTCTTCCGCAGCAGAGAGGGAGGCGGACGTGTACACGCCGCTGTGGTTCGAGAAGAGGCTGGACCCGCTGACCGGGGACACGGCCTGCGTGTACCGGGGCGGCTACTGGGAGGCCAAGGAGAGGCAGGACTGGCACCGCTGCCCCAACATCTTCTGAGCGCCACCTCCCCCAAATACAGGCTCCTGCGCAGCCAGCCCTCCGTCCTTTAATGCCCTCATTTTAAAAGGAAGGCCCGCCTCTCTTCCTCCTCCCCTACTCTTTTTCCTGTTTTTTTTTTTTCCTTTAAACACTTTTTCTGGGGCTACGTCTTTGAAGGAGGAAGTGCCGACCCGGGCTCTCTCCAAGCCCCAGGTGTGCCCAGTCGCCCTGCGCCCCTCTCCCCATGGACTTGGGGCCGGACGGAGATCCTAGCTCCCCGGTTACCACAACTCAGGCCGGCGCGGGCGAGACTAGCTCACGTCACCAGCCCAGCCCCGGGAGGGCCGCGCTGCTTCTCCTCGGGCGCCTCTCTTTGGACTTTTTTTAAACAGCTCTGCATTTCTTTCCAGCCCCGACGTTCAGTACCTGGTTTTAGTACACTTAGCAGGCAACTTTCCAAGTGTGCTTTCTTGCCCCGAGAGTGTGCGGCAAGAGCCCCTCTTTTTAAGCAATCAGGAAGCCAGGCTCCCTGCAGGTGGGAGATGCTGGAGCTCGGGCTTTGTGGGCGCTGCCTACCCCGCAGGAGCCCAGGGCCCCCGGAGAACCCAACAGAAAGGAGGGCCTGGCCCCGGGAAGGCACAGGAGTCGCTGGAGCCCCCACCCACGCACCTGGGAGCGGCGGCGAACAGACTTGGCCGGCCCTGGCTGTGCCGGGGCTGCTCCCAGGCCCCAGAGGCCAGGAGTGCTGGTAGGCAGGGCCTGCAGGTGCTTCCGACCCAACCAGGCCCGGAATCAGCAATAATGAACACACTCTGCGCAGCCTGGGCTGGCGACCCGGGCGGCAGAAACCCCGCTTCCCTCCTCGGCCTCAGGCAGCTCGGGGGGCCCATCTCAGTCCTCCTGGACCCTTCATTTGCCTACTTTATATTTATGATACAGAAATCTATATAAAATAGCTATTTTGCCTAACTTTCTATGGTATGTGGAAATGAAAACCGACGGAGGCAGGGCTCCTGAGTTTGGCCCTCCTGCCAGCCCTGCCCAGTCCTCACAGCCCGGTCCTAAGGCTCTGGCCACAGGTCGGAGGTCAGACCACGGCCTCCACTGTCCCAGGCCTGCAGCACCCCCATGCCCACCCTTCCTACCTACTTCAGTTTTGGTTCTGAATGTCCATCACAGAATTTTTCTTTCTGCTCCAGGACTGGTTTGGTTTTTACTAAAATAATAAAAGTGGGAACACCACCGTGTGCAATGCCTTAGCAGGCCTCCTTGGAGCAACGAGGCCCGGCAGGTGGCCGCCAGGGCTCCTCTAGGGCCAAGGGCCCGTCAATACCACTGAATGTACCTCTTCCGAACACTGTTTGTGAGCGAGCACCTTTTGACCAGTAACAATAAACCTCGGATTTGGAGTTTTCCAGCGCCTGGCCCTGTCTGTGGTGTGTGAACAGCGCTGAGGATGGCAGACCACCGACAGCCTGCAGGGCAATGGGATGGTGGTTGACAGGGAGAGAAGCAGGGCCACACTACCCAGCAAGCAAGGTGAGCACAGGCTTACTTGCGCTTACTTACTCATTGGTAGCGAAACTCAAGTGAAATTGTTCACTACGGCTTAGTCAGCACAATAAGCCTGTGCTTACCTTGTTACCGGGTGCTTCACCCCCGTCAGGGATCATAAATTTGAAGAGGCTTGGATTCTGTAGGTAGGTGCTGTCAGGTTTGGGGGGAGAGAGATGCCAGCCATGACTACAAGCAGAATCTTTGATGTGGTGAAAAGATGTGAAATTGTTCACTACAGATCAGTACGTACGCACAAGTAAACCCACGCTTACCTTGCTTCCTTGGTAGTCTGACGC